GTGGCGAAGACTAGCAAAAGCACTTCAAACTTATGCTATACTGTTCGTGATCTCGTCTTCGATCCCAAGGGCACTGAAACAACTTCCCAGGAAGTTGAATTTCTAAATGACTTTAGCTGATCATCACCAAGTGTCAGCGCAGGAGGCGATCCCTGCGAATATTGGAGGAGAGCTTTGCACTTCTATGGTGCAAAGCAAAGCTCGAAGCTGCTAACAGTCAGTGCTAATCTGTCCAGTGCAGCTTGGCACGTCTGGGAGCTGTCACAGATGAGGGCAATGTCGTCTGCATACTCCAAGTCAAGAAGTCGTTCTCCTGGGAGTAGCTCCACACCCTCTATGCAGTGTCCTGTAAATACAATCTCCATGACTTCGTCAATAGCGAAGTTGAAGAGGAAAGATGACAACAGACCTCCTTGTCTTACACCGCTGTAGATATTGAAGGGTGGCGACAGCTTGCCGGAAGCCCTCACTCTGCCCGAGCTATGCGCGTATAATGCTCGGATTATATTTACATATTTCTCGGGCACACCTTTCCTGAGTAGACAGTCTCAAAGCGCACTTCGATCAATCGAATCGAATGCACCTTTGATATCGAGGAGCACGACAACGCTGGTCCGCCAATACATGTTACGGTGCTACAACAATTGACGTAAAGTGAGAACGTGGCCGATGCAGCCACAACCCCGACGAAACTCGGCTTCCTACACACGAATCTGGCTTTCACGAGCGCCAGTCAGTCTGTGGAGGACTACAGTGGCAAGTAATTTGGAGGCGATGGGAATCAGACTGATTCCCCTATGGTTCTCGCATTCCCAGCGCGAGCCGCCTTTGAAGATGGGAACAATAACGGAGCGTCGCCAGTCGGTAGGGCCAGTTTCCTGCTCCCACAGTTTCACTAGTAATTCATGTAAAGCATCAACAAGAGCAGAGCCTCCGAATTTGAAGAGGGCTGGAGGAGGATCATCTGGTCCCGCTGCTTTGTTCAACTTCAACAGTCCGATCTCACGTTCGACTTCTGAGCGACAGGGTGGATCCAAAGGGAGAGCCTAAGGATCAGGGCGGTCATTGGCCGGTGAGGACTCGAACCATTCCGGCCGATTAAATTGCTTTTCAATATGCTCATCCCAGCGCTCCAAACGTTTTGACAAATTGTGAATAGGCTGTCCACTCTCGTCACAAATTGTTTCACTAACACCAGGTCTCCTGCTGCCGTTTCCCGTATCAGACGGAATAACTTACGATGGTTACCAAGGGCAGAGGCTACTTCTATCGCTGACGCACAGTGAGACCACTATGATTCGCAGTCTCTCTTCAGGCTAGCTTGAAGTCTTGCCCGGAGCTCTTTGCGAGTTTCATTGTGTTCGCTTCCAGCCGGGATATTCCGGCGAGCATCGATAAGTTCCAGAGACCGCGAACTGACCCAAAGTCCATGTTGGCTATTAGACCTACCATATGAGGATTTGGCTGCTGTTAGTAACGTCTGGTGCATATGCGACCAGTGACATTCAATTGCATCCAGTGAGCGCTTACTCAACTCGCATGACAGCTTACTTTGATAGGCATTCGGAACACCTGGCTTCGTCAATTGGCTGGTGTCAGTGCGCTCACAGCGTCTTCGTGGGTGTCCGCCAAAACGTATCCGCAGGCCAGCACATACAAGTGCATAGTCGGTGTCCACACATGTGTTCCAAATCGAGCGACAATTCTGGATGCAGCCTCTCCAGCGCTAACTGATAGCAATGTGATCTATTTGCGTCCATAGCAGGTTCAACGCTAGTGGGCACCGTCACCCTCCGGCGGGTGCTGTGTCGGAAGTTAGTGCTTGCAAGAAATAAGTGAGCATCTTCGCCCAAATGAAGTAACCGCTCGCCGTTATCATAACGGGAGCTTACACAGTGCCGACCGCCCAGTTGCATTTCACCAGTTTTACAACTTTTCAACATATGCGTTCAGATCCCCAGCCAGCCCAACAGTGTCCGTGCTTCTTCTGTGGCGAAGCAGCTCGGCCAATTGGCGGTAGAAGTCGTCTTTTACAGAATCATCGTTACATTTTGTGTGCGCGTCTACAGCGATGATGCATAGACACCTATTGTCCCGCGTGACTTCGAAGCTTTGAACGTGCCAGCCAATCAGACGGCACACATCCAGCTACTGACTGGGATCTAATCCATCAGAGCAGTTTCAGCCCGGGGACTCAGGGCAATGCCAACACAAGCTTGGCAAGTGCGGAAGCTGCATCGTCATCGGATAGTCACAATGAGAACGTGCTGTTGGTGTCACCTGAAGGGGATGGCTCAGTGAGCACAGAGCTCTAGTCTTGCAAGCGGGTCTCCCATAAGCAGCAGATGTCGATGGAGAGGGGTCTCTAAAGTTCGGGCAAGTGTTGCGTGTTGACCGATCTGTATTAATGCGCGTATTTTCAGGCATGCCAATCTGAAGGAGGATCGAGAGCTCCAGATAGAAGTCGATGAACAAGGGCGGACCGCTTGGTTGAATATTGTCTCGTCGATAGGACAGGAGGGACGCGCCGCGTTTGCATGTGAGTTGAAACTAGCAGATAAACGTCTAGCAAAGCATGTTGGGGTAGGGCCAAAAATCGAGTGGTTGAAAACTGGGGGGATAAAAGTGAAGTTAGAACGGGACCGTAAGGAAGAAAAAGCGTAAGAGGGGGAATAAGAAGACGCGAAGGCTCGGTTATAGAAAGGAGGTCTCAAACATTTTTCTAACGTAGCGACACAATAGTAAGCCTACTGTTGAGGCGTCCGTTTAAGGGAACACGAACGAGGAATTTCGAATCCACGAAACGAAGCAGAGGGATTGTAATTGGGATGTGAGATCGCGCAAGCCACTGAATGCTGGGATACTGACCGTTTTTGGTGTGCTATTGATGGGTGACCTGGATATGGTTTCGACAACATCGTACTTTATCCTTCTTTTTACCCATTTTGCTCAGGGTATGGGGTATGGGCCAGGACAGTGCTCCAAGTGGACTTGTAGGTTATCAATTGCTACTTTGAGCTTCAAGTTGGACGCCTAGTCGAATTTACTTTATTAATAATACCCAGTATGTATGTCAGCCACATGTCCGAGTTAAAAGAAAGCACCGGTTCGCATAGCGAACCAGTGACTGTGAGTATTGGTATTTGCAACACAAGCATAACGACACAGATTAGTGACTACGATTTGGAACTTTATCCGGCTGGCATATCTGGTGCGGCCCAAAAATCTTAAGCCGGAATACTGACTAGTTCTGGGTCAAACGGAGCTTTGCACTCATGACAGTCGCCAGTAGCTAGTGACCGCCCGGGCTTGTCACATTGTCTGCGGTTGTTACAAAAGTTTTGATGACCCTGTATGCCACATGACAACACTTTGTCACTGGCTCGATCTTCTAAAACGTCTGTATGATTGAGTAGATGGAACCATGTGAGGCAATGTAGTAGGTGAATATCGCTTCTTCCTCTCATCCAACCTGGCACAGGCCGAAACAGGCCAGTTGACAGTGGGACCCAATATGAGAACAGTAATCGAAGTACTATAAGTTATGTGTCAAGTACCAGCTCATATAACATCTTTATATTCCAGAAATTAGTGCATTCTACAAGGTAGATAAACGGGAAATATCGAAACTGTGGCTTAACAATCGTAAACAGAGGCTTACTGTTTGGGCCCACAACGGATCTTCGAAGCCCAAGTAAGTAAAGTAGTATTTTTGATATCGAATGGCTGATTGCGTCTAATCCACCTACGGGGTACATGGTGCCTGATCCGAAGCAACTGCACCCAAGTTTTGATCGCCGATTAAGCTATGGTATCCTAACCAGTTGGGAACAGTACTGTATAATCAAGAGTGTTCTAGGAGTAATTTTGTTCTGAGATTCCTTAGATGGTGAGGAGTTCCTTCTAGAGCACTGCACTGATATTCAGTAGCACTTATACGTTCCTCAGCCGAACATGCGTTCTGTGATAATGTTGACAGTCTGGATGGAGGAATTATTGAAACTAAATGGTATGATGACTGTCGCAAATCTTACGAGTTCATTTGGTAGATTTGATAGTGTGGGATAAGGAACCTGGACGCTGTCGGGGATGCTGTGACTTAGTGCACTTTCTTATTAAGCAAAATATGCCAAACTCACGGGCCTTGGATCCTTAGAGGGCGCGGTGGTCCTATTGATCTAAAACAACCATTGGAGAAGAGCCAAATGAATGAAAGTCATCGGCCCAGTTGTTGTCTGTGTTTCAGCTTTCCCATAATAGTTTCATATGTCAGGTGATACTGGACGGAGTGAAGGACGAGTAGAAAATGCATCGGTTCCGGACGGGATGCAGATGCTTCCAGTTATTCGTCTAGCAATTACAATTCGAACCCAATTGGTTAGTACCAGAAGCCTCGCGTGCCGCCAAGATAAATAAACAAATACACTGCAGTGTAAAAATACACAGCCGAGGGGGAAAAGTGAGCTAATAACTAACCCACGATATGCTAAGCACAGCAGTTTGATAACACGGGGAACAAACAAGTGCTGCTTAGCCCTTTTGGTTAATTACGAATTTCCTGTATCTATGTCATTCAGACGTCCATGAAAAGTGAATTGCTGCACAAGATATTGCGACGACAAGCTCCTTGTCTGCATTAAGAGATTCCTGGAAACTTTCCAATGAGTAGCCTTCTGCTTATTTAACTAGCATGTCCATACAACGCAAGCAGACGAAGGAACGTCATTGTGCCTTAAATCAGCTCAATGATGGCCTGCTATGTTTAATCGGTACAATCTTTACCAGTCTGACCAATGACCGATCCAAGTATTGATCAAAGAATGTAGTGTCAACTGCAGGCGCGTGAATGTGTGTTTTTATATGCTAAAATACGATTTGTTAAACTACTCAAGCTAAAAGGCTAACGGAAGATGATAGTGAAGTGTGCCGTTAATGAAGTGCGTACAAGCAGACTAGCAACCATAATGGCACGACAGACACATGTGTAAGTCAGTTAACAGCTCACGGGTGGAGCGCGAACCACGGGTTAGTTCGCACACGATCAATGAACAGCATGTACAACGTGTGTTCCGCTACGTAGGAGTATGCAATAAACTTCGTTCCCGCTTCAGTCTATCCAATCCGTCCATAAACTGATTTGGGACGTGCGCCTTTTCAGTGGATCGTCATGCCTAGGTGAGTCCACTTATTTTGCTACCGAAGTGTGCAAATACTGAGTCATTTCAATTACATTACTGCTACCGTATGGAACTATGTCTCTATAGGTCCTCAGATTTTGTCACTTTGTTTATTGGTGACCAGTTGCCAATGGATCATAACAACCAGGGAAGAGGGCTTAACCCTACTCGACCCACTTAGGAGTGTCGGTTGACCACGACGACCGGACCGTGTAGATCATTGACTCCGTACTTAGTGCAACATCTGACAAAGCCATTGTACAGTCAAGCTGTGTTTGGGCCCTCACATGACGGACAGTGACCTTTAGCACTTTCACAGAACATCGCGAGGACCTTAAAACTATGGATAAATGGGAAGGGGAACATTCGTATTAACAACCCCAGTTTACCAAAATTTCGGCGGATATTTTGCGCCGATGTCTGACATATTGAATACGATAGTACTGTCATCAAGTCGCACAGTGATAACTCACCACGTTAGCTCCACGGTGGATTTCCGTAGGACTAGTGACAAGCTGCCACCGCCCAATTGTTAACTCTTGCACCCACGAAATGGGAAGTATTTCACACTAAGTGCCTAAACCCATTCCATCAATGGGCTTGCATTCTGGAGATCCATCCAGCAAACTTTCTTTTCCACCAACTTACTGACTGCTGTTGCAATTTGGAGAGTGCAGGCTAACTTCACTCATTCATCTGTCTACATCCAGCGTGCAGGTGGGATGACAAAGAGAAGTCTTTTGTTCGGCTCCCTTGCAGACCCACCTTCTTTTCATCGTAATGGGACAGCTTAATAGTTGGATGTATTTCAGAAGTGATGGCCAACGTATCTGCACAGACGAGCGTGCAAACTTTATCCTGAGGTAGAGAGACGTTCCTGTGTTGGTACTTGGAGGTAAGCGGAGCACCAGTAACTGCTCGCACTAACAAATGGGCTTGAAACTGGTGAAGACATTGCTTCTCGAGACACCTTAAAGCAGCGGCCTTAATGCAATGGCAATCTATTGGTTTTTAGTAATACTGGAGTTAAACGTGGTATATTCACGAGTAAGACAACTAAAGCGGAATGGATCGTCATTCAGGTGACCGGATGTGGTAATATAGTCCTGCGTCACACATCAGATCACAGCAGCCACTACACCAATATCATTGTAACGGATGTAAGTGAGTAAGCCCAAATTCACGATAAACTTATTCACCGGCTAAGCTATTTCAACAATCTCCGGAGCATATTCAAAGGCCAGTAAGACGACACCTATCGAATGTGTGTAGACAGAGCTGCTGAGCGGAGGATAAAATGAGTTCGTTAACAAATCTATCAAACGATGTTGGACTTGGTTGAAACTGCCGGGGTTATCTCGGCAAAAATAAACAGACAACATCCACCTCCCCAACTCATCTGTTTCACTCGTGCGCACCAGTTGTACACTAACATCACAGCTTGTGTCTTGATCACGTAATTCCATTGGCGATTTTTAACAAGCTCCGTTTAAGGTTGCACACTCAACACCTTCTGTGAGCATGGGAATTTACACTATGATTTCCTGTTAATTAAGATGATTCCGCTTGCCATATTGGTTTCCAACGCTCTCATGCCAGGTGGTGTAAACGCCGTGTTTTCGCACACCACCAAAGCAGGTAATGATAGCAGCGTATACATGGTGATGTCGTATAGGTAAGTGTGTTCACCCCTATCTTACCATGAAATATATGACTGCTTGTGTCCGTTTCCTGAATAGCTCGTCGCTGCGACTATGAACGGCAGCGGGACGCCAGCACCTATAGAGGGGCCATGGGTAGCTTGTGCCTTACCACTGGCCGGTCCGTTCACAAACCCCAATGCTAGTATACAATCGAAGGGATATAAGGTTGAGAAGCATGTAGATGGAACCCACTGTTGATTTGGAGTTGGCCCACAGACCAACATGCAAAGCGTTCCTAAGAAATTGGGGACTCATGCATATCACATTTACACATGGCTGTGAATGGGCCATAGGCCATTCCACACTGCATCAAACCACTCTTTGAGTATAGGGCTGTCGTGAGGATTGTGCCGTAGCCTCCTCCATTAATGATTAACGACCTCCTAGGACTAGTAGTCCAATTGGTATTCGATAGGTCAGCACAATATAAACCTTCCCATGAAGCGGAGCCGGTAAAAATTGTCCCCATGCAACAACGTAAGTTCACAGGCATGAGCATGGTTCAATGGCAGCGATAATGCAGCACAAGTGGCACATCTGCCGCCTTATCATCTTGAAGCGGAATACTTACCAGGCTCTGACATTTAGCCATTCAACATACCTGTCGCCTGTTTGATTTATACTTCTTGCGGCAATGTGGGTGACTTACCAGAGCGGCTTGGTCGAGCCACACTAGGTGGCATATGCTACAACACATAGTGCTTGGCGTCCAGTTAATAACTGTCGCATACACATCTAAGTTTTTGCTCCTAATGCAGTAGCTCTTTATAGTGCACTTAGCACTGGCATTCTTGATCCGTTCAACCCGATGGTTATGCTTCAGTGCCATTTCTTCTGAGCCCATGAAGCCAACATCAGTCTGCGATTGCCTCGTCTTGAGCATGCCCTGATAGCGCAGCTCAGGTTTACCTAAAGTTTGCTTCCTTGTACTCAGTTGGTCAGGCAATGTGTGTTTCGACACTGTCTTCACATTCTTGCAGAGAGCATGTTCGAGGCACCGTAAGTGCTGCAATGGCAACTGGTAATAAATGAACAATGAATAATGAAAATGATTTTATACGGTTAAGAAGCAGTGCTTTACAACCCCCATTGGGTAGTATGGTGGGTTATCGAAAAACGTTAATGCAAAATATGCATTTAGTAGCTCTGATGTCAAAGAATGGACCTATCGTATGTAATGCAGTAGCCAGGCACCCTGAGCGTTTTCATAACTTCAATAGGCGAAAAAAAGTAAATTCAATGTATTTCCCGGGAGCAGGATGGAGCGTAGCGTCAAGCAACAAAATGCAAGTGGTGGAGTGCGTCATCCAACCAATTTTTAACTATAGATACCGTGTGTGCAGAAGCCACTGATTCAGGACTAGCATTCCATTGTTGACACAGGCGAATGGAAAAGAAATTTCTACTGCATTCCAGACGGTTGTACTGTTCCACTAGTTTCATGGAGTGGCCTCTAAGTTTCGTGTTACTGATGAGTTGCAGTAAAGAGCGGCACACATGATTTAGATTGTGTACAATCAAGTACGACATAATCATGTCACCACGCAGTCGGCGATGCCGCTCGCTTAATACTCACAAACGTTTCAGTCTCTGCATGTATGGACGGTGACTCATTCCAATGACGTATGTAGAAACCTGACAATGAGATTGGTCCAGTGCTGTAAGGTCATGCTTCAGCCATGGCTGCCAGGATTGGAGGTAAACATGTGCGACTGTGGCGCAGCTCTCTCATGTCAGGTGCTCCGTCGGACGGTCAAAATCCAACGCAAGCGCTGCTAATGAAATCGCCACAAGCATTGATGAATTGCTTACATTACTATTTCATTGTGTCCTTAGACGATCGGTGCGGGGGGATGAACTACATGTTGGACTCGATTGTTTAAGTCGCACCCCGTCATCTTGCTTGGCGCTCATTTGGTTTGCCAATTGATAGTATTTATGTGCTGCAGGTTTTCGTTCCTCTAGCTAGCAGTGCCAGTGGGGTTGTATTTTTCATGGCAAATGACTAATGTTCTCCGCGAGAATCTAAACACCTGGACTATGTCTGCCACTACACGACAGATGTACGATATGTATCATACGTTCTTAATCCTGTCGCGGCTGCTATTTCACGAACTCACTAGATCATCTTAGCACAGGAAACCAGCATTGATCAATCACTATTGCTGCAGCCCAACACTCTGATCTAGACATAGACCAGGTTCGATGCAACATGTCTTTGAAACTACGCGAAGTTCCGCTAGTTTCATCCGAGGTGTCTGTCCTTTGTAAAGTCTTACAAACTTCTCCACTCCCGTATTTCTTACGACAATGCGCCGACCCATTTTTAGTGAGCCACACAACTTGTCCCATCCAGAAATACCTGCTTCGCAGAAGCTCAAAACCGAACGTTTTGTTTGGCTTTATGTCAAATGCGACGTCCGCAGTTGAGCTCGCGCATGCTTAGATGGTGTTCAGGCACACCAAAAACCCATTCGCTTCTTTCCTTGTCCCAGACTGTCGTTTTGTGCACGTCCACATTGACCTGGTCAGATTTTTGCTATCGTGCAACGGCTACGTGTACTTGCTCATCTAATTCGAAGGATTAACAAGTTGGCCAGAAGCGATTTCTGTTGTCAACTGCTCATCGGTAACAGTGGCACACTCTTTTCTAGAAAGCTGGATAGCTCGATTTGATTGCTTTGCCGTAGTCCTTTCCGACCGAGGATGACATATTGACGGATCATTCAGCAAACTACTCAAAATACTGGGTTGCCAACGCAACCAAACCTTGGGGTTCTAATTTGCAGCTAACGGCACGGCTAAAATGATCCACCGGCAACACCAAGCTTCACTTTGCGCCCAGTCTAGCATCTCCTGGCATGAAGAAGTTCCGCTTGTTCCCTTAGGTATAAAGAACACTAATAAAGCAGACTTGCACCTCATCCCGTCTTCGCTTTGGAACAAAGGAACAATGGCATAGCACGGATAAAAAGCCAAGGCTTGACAATTCCTGTAGGATGGTTTGTGGAAATAGGGTTAGTTCAAAAAGTTGCACAAAATTGAAAAAAACGCAACTGTGGACTCACCATATTTTCCACATTAACATAAAGGTATATCCGTTTACCCCGATTCCCTGATCACAATGTTTTCCTGCGCCATGTCGCCACTCAAAGAATAGAAATTAGATCAGGTAATGCAGGTGGTATAAAGTATCATCGAGCCTTTATGTAAAAATGGGTAGCGTGGACGCGGAAGTGACAAAAGTCAAAAGAGCGTTTCACGGTTGACAAACTCGAAGGGAAAAATTATTCTG